TTTTTTTTTTTTTTTTGTAAAACCATTATGTCGTCGCTATAGTATTTCCTTAGATTTGCATTAAAATATTTTTTGTTCGTTTGCCTTACGAACTTATGGGATGACCTAATATTTGCAGTTTCGCAAACATACACAGAAGTTTTTTAATACTGATACTACTTGGCAATGCAAGAAGAGGTTCATTTCATTAATTACATAATTAATGGAAGATAACGTATGTAAGAAATTATCAACGATACCTAAATAGAATATATTCAGGGTATCACTTTTGAAATATGTTACATATTAGGTCATATCGCGAAAGTATTGCGAGAAATGTCACGTTGAAATAATCTTGAAGAAAAAAATAGCGGTTTTACGACACGTGCCACTGGTTAGAATAATACCGTAAACATTTTCTAAAAATGATACATTAAGTTGCCATTTCTGCAATGTCGATTTATTGTAAAATGAGAATTGCACTATTTGTTGTTTGTTTCAACAAGTTTTTTTTCTGTAGGAAAACATAAAAGAAGAGCTTGAAAAAAATATCTTAGTCACTTTCTTGATTGAATATACATAAGTGTTTTGTATATTTATACACCTGACATTTAAAACAGGTAGCTCTTTATGTGTTTATTTAAGGAAAAATAAACTTCTATAACATTTACACATTCGATTACTTATTTAACTTCCAATCAATTTCACAAATTACGTCCACACAGAAAGCTATGAAATTTCAATTTTGTAGAATTTGAAAACCATGAAATCTTAATTGAGTAAGTTACAAAGATAATATATGAATAAAATAAATCTTACGAACTGGTATAATCTCGTTACGTACGCCTACTGAATGTTATCACGACGAATTAAGAATTCATTATGATAAGATTCGCTAGACGCTATTGGGAACGTCTTAGAAATCCGCTGCAATCAATTTTTCAATTGATTAATTAATTTTTTTAACTAACAGAACGAATATAATTTTGTGAGTTTCACAAAACCAACGAGGAGAAACCGAATTTGTTCCATTTATAAGCACTGAATTCCCATCAACAAACTAACTCCTTACATCAAAGTAAAAATACCGCGAAATAATATCTGTAAAACAATTTAATCGTAATTTATAATGTTCAGTTTACGTTAAGAAGATGTAATTTACAATTAAGTAACAAGAACACGCAAATATTGCGTTAGTTGCTGTTACATAAAAAGGCAATAAAAAAGGATTTAATTATACAAAAGAGCAGCCAGTGTAATACAACAACTCGCAAATTTCAAAGTTCAGTCACGGACTGGTCTGACTAAAAAATTCTTTATCTCGCGAACTTGTTAGGGGAATACAAACGCTAGAAACTGTCCGGGTGTGTGTTTCAAGGTTTCAGTGTCGATTATGCGAGTGTCTCTCCTCCACAGACGGATTCTCGGAAGGCCTCCTTGGCCCCTTTGCACCATTCACATGTCTCTGCCGGAATAAAACAACTAACCATTTGGCGTTTCCCGAGGAAATACTTTCTACACTCTCTAACGCAGTTCATCCGCCACATCAATAGTTAGAATAATTCTATTTAAACGGGTATATTAAAACAAAAGTAAATAGGTTTTTGTATACGTGCAGCTTCGAACAATTAACCAGCAAGAGTTGTGAAATTTATGGTCTTTTAGGAAATTATTTGAAATGATGTATAGTCTGTGTAGTAATAATAAAAGCATTGTATATTAAGTATTCGTATAGTTGACGAACATGTACTAACTTGGAATATTATAGAGCAAAGATTTCAGAATATTGTTAAGATTAAAATGTTAACTGTTTATCAAGAGTAAATTTACAAATTTGAAAAAAAATTAACTTAAGACATGTAACAACTACAAATTATTTTTATCAAATTTTAATCGTGTTCTATTATATATAGCTATAAGAATATTAACAAAATTAAAATATAATTCCACATACCGAGTGGTTGGCCACTTCAGAAAATTTAAAGAGTTATTCTAAAAACCAAAATAAGACGAAAATCAAGAATAAAAAAATTGCGTTCGAGGCTTCGTTTTTTAGTTATTAATATTTTAAAATATCCCTGTAAACGAGCAAACCTTCTTACACCAACGAAAATAGGGCACGTCAAGACACGGAGGGGTACAGTAATTTTCAAAACCAATGACACGTAGAAAAAAAGACAGTAACATTTGGCACCGTAAACGGTATTACTGACTTCTGCGGCACTATGTTTGCTATGTTGTGCGCTATGCACACAAACACAATATGTAAACAAACAAAGAAAATTGTAAAAACTAATTTATTTTTCTTCAGTTTTTTCAGTTTTCTTTGGTTTTTTAGTTTCCATTACGTGCGCGTACGCGTGTATGTGAAAATTGTAGTGGATCGTGATTGTTTTACAATGATTTGTGTGTATTACGTTTCTTGTGTGCATAGTGCACGTTGTGTTTGCAGTACACAATGAAGTATACATCTGAAGAACTTTCTGACATGCATCTGTGTGGTCGTGAAGTAAACGGTAGTGCCACAGAAGTCGGTAAAGCCATTTACGGTACCGATTTGTACGAGGTAAGGTGACGGCCATGTGACGTTGGTTTTGAAAATCACTGTATCGCCTTTATCTTGACGTGTCCTACATTCGTTGGTGTAGGGAGGGTTGCTTGGCCACAGGGGTATATTTAATTGTTAATAACTGAAAAACGAAACCCCGAATGCAATTTTTTTGTTCTTGATTTTCGTCTTATTTTGTTTTCTAGAATTACCTTTCAAAATTTCTCCCAGAAATGGCCGAGCACCTATAATTGTGTCAAAAAAATTGTGTAGAGTAGGGGGAACTTTTACAAATCCTCTAGAAAAATAAGGTTTCGGCGTTGGAATTCGAACTTGCAATTTTTCAGGCCTGTAACGTCACCGGCCATCCACTATCTCGCTTTCTTCTATTTTCATACGGATTTTCTATTGTTCTTCTAAATCTATTATAATTGCAAATTTCAAAATACGCTTTTAAGCCATTGTGTGCACTTAAAAGTGTTACTACATTTAGAGTTGAGATACGAAATGAATTATTTTCAACAGTCTTAACCACAATAGCAAACGGTTAAGAACGCATGTTATCGTTCCATCAGATTTTATAAAAAAATATGACTTTATATCTAACTTCACAATATTAACCCTTTACAATCCGAATTTTTCTTTTATTTTCTTTCCAGTAACTCTGCATTATTTTAAGTGTTTTATTTCAAATGTACTTCAAAGAACAATTGGTTGATAGGAAACAATGTAAACAATTACTTCATTATACGTATATGACACTTTTCTGTAACAAATGCACTTTTTTTTTTTACAAAAAAGGGGCATATAAGTGTAATGTTACTTATCTGTATAAAAAAATCTTGCGAAATATAACACATATTTAAACTGGCAATTTAAAAATGTCGAGTGTGACTCGACATCGGAGTGCAAAGGGTTAATATCCGTACTTGCCCTTTAATCATACAACTGACTTACATAAATCAGCCTATGATATACTCATGCTTTCCGCCTAATCAATAGCAAATCTTGCAGATCAACCCGTACCACGATCATTGTCCCTCTTTTACGTGCTACACGTTGAGAAAACTAGTTTGCAAACCGTCGTGTTCAACGGTGTCGTACATGTAAATACATGTACAACGAGCGAGAATGAAGGAGCAGTGGAGGAACGGTTCAAGCAGAAATAAACCTCCGTTTGCAAGTTTCTATCGAGAACGTCGAGCATTACACGCGCCCACTAAATTCGAAATGCCACTGCTCAAGTCCGCAGCTTGGTTTAACGCTAAACCGGCTTCAGGTGTTCACCGCGAAAGTTCCAGCGCCGCGCCTCTGTAGATCCAGTTCTCGATCTCCTCGAATCTGCCATATTTATAAACGTTCAGCGTCTATAAATAGAAGCACTGTTGCGTTCAATATGTGGACGAGTAGCCAATAACAAGATTTGAGCGGCCGTTTCAGCGATCATGGCCCGCGAACAGGAGAAAAAGATCTCTTGGCCCGTGAAACATTGAACCAACAACGTTGGTCGCAAGAGGACTGCATAAAGCTTACATAACGACCGGGCTTTCTAGCTGAGTAAGATTTATCGAGGCTGCACTTATTTTCGTATCGCGCCGCGTACTGGTTAATTGAAGCGGCGATCTTTATTTGAAATCGTAATCTTACGGATGATCGTTCCGGTAGACAATTCATGGAACCGGCTAGATTCGTAATTAGGTCTTGCCAAGTGTTTGAAAAGAAATCCATCGTTCGTTCGGTGCTACTTTAGATTCACAGTAAATTGACAGTTTAAGAAAAAGCAGCAATGACGAAGTAAACGAAGAAAATAGGGAAATAAACGAGATACTACATTTGCGATTGTGATCATGAAAGTGGTCTAAGTCAAAAATCTAAAAAAAATTGAATTAATCGGTTATTTTATGTTGCCTCGATTTTTTTCGTGGAAAAGAGTTATGTTACAAGAGCAAGTATTTTGTGAAATATTTTATTATATAATGAAAAAATATTTCTTAATACATCTAAAGGGAAAGTTCTAAATATCTCAAAACGAAAAATGTGACTTTTGACATTTATAGTAGAAATGTTGGAAAAAGTTTCGGTCATTTAGAAGTTTGCAGGTAAAATAGTAATTAAGAAAATACTTTTATTTATTACCTTTATCTTGTATTAAATAATTAATTTCTTGATAATTTTGTAACAAAAGCAAGCCAAGTTTATATTGAAATTGATATAGTAGGTAATAAATGTAGACGACTAAGCAGCTTGTGTTATTAAAACAGAGAGAATGAAGCAAAAGATTAAGGTGTCGAATTGTAAGAAAGCTTGAAAATTGCTGAAACGGTTATGTACCAGAATAATAATCAACGGTTTTGTAACAAAAGTTCGTAATATGTGATTGGCGTCTTATGTTTACACCTGATAGAAAATATTTCAGTCGAAAATTTTCGAAACAAACCAATGCTTGATAGTTTTTGTTGAAATTGTTTGTCAGGTCTCGTGAGGCTGGGAATTTGAAGAAGAGCGCAATGTCAGCTGCTGTGAGGGAGAGAACGACAACACAAACCAGCAGAAAGATCGTGAGTCATGGCGGACCTATATCTGGCCAGAGCCAGCCGGCAACCACGGCCAACAGCCTCGAAAACAACTTAGGTAAACCTTTAAATGTGCCACCAGAGGTGTAACCCTATCCTTGGATCATTCTTTTTCGCCTACGTATATTTTATCTCTTACGATTCTCAGACTTTCGTTAAAATTAGATCACAAAAAATTTATGGATATTACTTCATCGGATTTTGACTTTACATTTTCCAATGTTTCTAAGAAGACCTTTTTTTTTTGGATGGAAACACGATTGGAAGTCAGTAGTTCTAAATTCTTTAAATAAGTTTTTATTTTTTATTATATATATTAATATTCAGAAATTTGCAGGGAAAATGCTATTAGGAAAGCTGTGAATAAATGAAAATTAATACTTTTATTCATTATTTATCTACTTACTTATAACCTTTTCTTTTAATTATTATTCAATATTAATTAATTTCTTTGTAATATTAATATTAGTATTATTGTTAACGTTATAACCTTAGATTTGGAATTTGAAAATTAATTCTGCGAATACTTGATGCAATTTAATCCTCACCAACTTACTTAATACCTGTTAAAAATATTAAAACTGAATACACTGAACTCTTCATTCGATATAAGTTTCATAAAATTGACATATCGATATATAGGAACTGTTCTATACCACATATAATGTTTTTTAACTTATTTCTGAATTACGATGTTAATTTAATGCCACGGTGTAGCAATGATAACTTTTAGTGAATATTTATCGAACCGAGTACTATGCTACCCTCCTTAGTTTAATTGTCTTAACCAATTTTTTTTAACATCCAAGATAGACAAGGTAAAAACTAGGAAAAATATGTATGAAACAATTAGGACAAATAAATTAGACTGCTTTTAGTAGGAATATTCTACCTTTGATTGAAAAGAGAAAAACATCTGGAGCTCCAAACATTTCAAAACATTTTGAAAAATGAAAAATTGGTAGATAGGACATTTTAGCTAAAGGGGGCAGTTTGGAAACTAAGTTAACGATCCCACTAAGTCGTTGGAATTTAAGAAAATTGATGAACGTCGTGTTATACAATTTTCGTTTCTTTTTCTTAATTTGTTAAGATAAAATCAAATTACTGTATTTATATTAGGTGTAGCAACAAATTATTTTCGACTGGATACACATAACTGATTCAAAACCACTGAGTTTCTATCGCGATGGTATTCCCAAGCTGTCAGAAAAATGGCAAAAGGTCATCAATAATAGTGGAAATTATTTCAACGATTGATCTGTTTTCATTCTTTTTAAATAAACCTTCGATTGTACCCAAAAGTTGGGAAAAAATCATTTCTACACCTATTCTACATCGTATTCATTTATCCGCATACGTTCGATTGTTAACTTACTTTTCAAGGCGACTGTAACTACATTTTATCATAATGTGTCAAGTATTGCATGTATGTATATATCACTTCAGAGAAAGAATGATTAGCAATCATTAAGTAGCTCATATTACGTTGCAGAATTGCATAAGCATTCTTGCTATCAAATCAAATAACATATGAAGTATATTCAATATAGCGTATAATATATGATATGTATATATGTTATACTGAAACATTCCAATATACTGTGACCTTCAATAACGTCAAATCAGTTGGTTTATTAGAGAAAGAAGCATGTAAGTGACGATAAAACGTTTCTTCGTATCAAACTAATTGTAAGCACAAAACTTCATTATGCTTGCAAGTTACTAAATCTGCTTGTTTCTCTACTTTACATGCAAGTTTTGTTTTATTTACTTATTAGTACATTGGTTTCATCACTTCACGTCGTTTCTTTCGCTCTCTGTAAATGTGTCCTTAGTATTAAATTATTCGTTTCAGTACACCTGTTTCTTTCAAATTAAATTCAATATCATGTAACAATAGTGTTACGACGCTGTAGATCTTCTTTATTCGAAACGAACAGACACAATTACGATACTTAAGTGGTAGACAAATTTTCAATATTTCAAATTTAATATCAGAAATATGATTTTTATACAAAAACGCAATTAATCATTCATCCTTCAGTCAAATTCGTCAAGTCTATGTAGGCTCGCAAAATGACATAATTTTTTCGGACGATTAGATATACAGTGTTTATTTAAAAACTCTGCATAATACATCATACTATCGCTATTTTGCGTAATCCACTTTCGTAACGATGCGTAAGTAGTCGTTATCTCTAATATAAGAATACATGATTCATGATTGTAGATGCTCTTCTTGAGGATCTACAAACAAGTGTTTCAAGAAGTGCCACCCCAAGTCGAGGTGGCCGGGCACTTTCGCCTCAAGTAGAGTATCGCGTGGCTGCAAATCCCACAAAAGTGGTCTCTGAAGGCAGGTGGGTAAAATACAGAAACGTCGTTTATAGTAAAGATATCTCGATTGAAAAGAAGCACATTTTTCAAATTGGCAAATTCAATGTACTTTAGAACCATTTCGCCAACTCGAACAATGACGACCGCTACGGAAAAATATGTGAGCACTGGACTGAGTGGCGCACCGAGTGGAATACCTGGTTTGGATTTCATAGACTCGGAACTACAAAATGTAAGTCATTACTAATTTGTTTTAATCTTACTGCCTGTTATACAGGATAGGACACGGAAAAATGGTACGAGAATATTTTTAGACGTAATTTAAATGGGGCAAATATGATTTTTTAATATGTTGTCAAGGTCATAATCCTGAATCAGGGTAAAAAAAGTTACGAAAAAAAAGAAGATTTGTATTTAATAGAGTGCATAGTAAATACATTGCTTTGGTTTACCTTTCTTACTGAAATCTATTCACATTTCTTATCAGTATTGGATTTGTCAGATGATTTCAAAGGGTGAATAAGATGAAGGAAAAAAATATATCGGCGAAGTTACAGCCGTTCGAATAAAACGGCTCCGCAGACATTATTATAATATTATACAAACTTCAAACGCGTTTTTCTCGAAACGGTATTTTTCAAGACGATGGGCATGATAATTGTCTCACTGTTCGTCTGATTAACTTCATCTTTCACACACATATTCTAAATAAGATTCGTTATCGGCTCATGGAGAGCGTTTTTAGATAAATTGAACCATTTTTAAATAACAAAAAGAAGTTTCTTAAATAAAAATCACGACCCTTGTTTTGCAAATTATTGCCATTGTTGGAATTTTTTTTTCTGAAAAACCCTCTCGTGAACAGAGAACTACGATCTCAAGGAGTGTTAAAAATTCGAAAATTTTTGTTTCTAAACACTCGTACGAACTGAATCATGCCCATCGTTTGGCAGACACCATATTTCTAAAAATTTTCAATTTTTCATTCCTGTTTTCTACTTTTATAATACACAAAGAATTAAACCAATCGGCTTAATAGCTTCTCCTCCAATCACTCACAAGCATTTACCACTTGTCAATGCCGAGAAACGCACAGTATAGCACCTACATGACCCCTTAACACGTTCAACTCGGGGTGACCCACCGGTGGATCGCGAATCGTACTTCTGCCAGGTGGC